ATAGCTGATCACAGAATGGTTTATGCATTGGTAAGAGTTACAAGACAAAAAATCGCTCCAAAGATTATATTAGTCATTGATTGGAAAAAATTCAAGGAGGATAAATTCAAACAGGATATAAAAATGGCACCATGGCATTCCTGCAATGTATTTGAGGAAGTAGATGACAACCTTTGGATGAACGAAATGCTTTATTCAGATATTGTTAAAGAAATTATACCAAAAAGGAAAGCCAAGGTACGTTCAAATTCTCTTCCATGGATGAACAGCAAAATCAGGAAGCTTATGAATCAGCGATACAAACAACTGATAAAAGCAAACAAAACGATACCAAAGTGCGAACTTCTGGAATAAAATCAAAACACTTACAAAAACCAAAGGGAAAAAAGAGAAAGTTATTGGGCCCCTAAAAAATGGAGAGGGAGAGCTAGTGTTTGATGACAATGAAAAAGCAGGCCTTATGAATGAATTTTTCACAAATATTGGTCAGAAACTGGCAAAATATCTTGAGTATATAATATATATACAGTAACTCCGACAACAGGGCATATCGACATAACTGAGAAAGCTGTTTCAGAGACGCTGAAAAGATCAACCTACGGAAGGCATGTGGACCAGATGAAATAACATCGAAAGAACTAAAAACGGAATCTGATGAGATGAGTTTTTCCATAGCAAATATATGTCGCTTGAGATATATTGAAGGAAAATATCCAAGTCAGTGGAAAATTGGAAAAATAAAACCCGCGCACAAACAAGGAGAAAGAGCAGAGAGAGGAAACTATCGGCCTCTGACAATGCTATCCCTTCCAAGCAAGGTAAATGAATCATTGATATGCGATGGTATGGAGAAACAAATAGACAAAACAAGACAAAACCAATGGGCCTATTCTAAGGGTAAATCAACAGAGTCAATCCTGTTGTATCTAACTGAAACGTGGAAAAGGCATATGAGTAAAGGAGAAGTAATCGCAATACTCTTTATTGACTTCGGGAAGGCTTCTGATTGTGCAGACCATATCATACTTAAACAGAAATTGATAGCAGCAGGAGACAGTGGCAAATTGTATCAGATAATCGAGAGTTACCTAGAAAACAGAAAACAATACGTAGATCTGAATGAGGTAAAATCTGAGTTAAAATCAGTTGCCTACGGAGTGCCTCAAGGGTCAGTGTTAGGACCAAGACTGTTCTCAGTATATATGAATGATCTGCCTGATATTACATCAGAAGGGGAGATGCACTTCTAGGTAACACTCTAGGTAATTCTAAGATACTATGCAGATGATGTAACAGCTTTTGCATATGGAAAAAGTGTAGATGAATGTGTTTGCCAGCTGAATGTTTTGGCAAAAGAAATAAATAATTGGTGTGTCGCAAACAAGATGACAATAAATGTAGACAAAACAGAAGCGATGATAATGGAAAGGAAGCAGTATACCGGCCCTCTCGCGCCAGTTGAAATAGGAGGAAAGACTGTGGAATATAAAGAGGTATCTGAAGTTCTAGGGCTATATTTGGACAATAAGCTGGATTGACATTCACACATTGAAAAAGTTTATAAAAAGTATGCAGGAATGATAGCCATGCTAAGAAAGGTCAAGTTCTTTCCAGCTCAAACACTTAAAGAAATTTATTACAAAACGGTTATCCCAAAAGTAACATACGGAATGCTTGTATGGGGCACATGTACACAAAATAAATTTGAAAGAATTGAAAAGCAGCAAGCAAGGGCAGCAATGTTAATAAAAAACATCCCTGGAACGGTCAGGAGTAATAAAGTTCTAGAGAAAGTAAGCTGGGACCCAATAATTCACATATACAAGAGAAAAGTAGCAATTGAAATTTACAAAATAGTTGGAGAGAAATATGAACAGAGAATGGAAAACTTTTTCATGAAATAAAAGAGAAGAGAATATAAATTAGAAATAACAAGATTAAACTCTGAATTTCAAAGATACGCTTTTAACTACAGGGGTATCCTTATTTGGAATAAAATATCGAAAAATGTTAAACAAGCAAAAACTAAACAGATTTTTAGGACAAAACTAAAAGAAGATACGAAAAAGTTGAAAAGTATAAATTTTTCTAAAGGGGCAGTTTGCATAAGAAACAGATTTGTAGATTATATATGTTTTTAAAGTTTAAGCTTGTATTGTAAATTTTTCAACTTTTTCTTTTATTATACCAATTTTACGTTGCAGGTCTACATCAGCCCACGTAAAATTGTATGTATGTATGTATATGTATGTATGTATGTATGTATGTATGTATGTATATGTATGTATGTGTGTATGTATGTATGTATGTATGTATGTATGTGTATTGAAACCAATTCAAGTGAGATCCTCCAATTCCCTAATATTCCAGTTTTCTAAGTAGAATCTTATGATTAACTTAATCAAATAATCTTGCAATGGCCAGAAAGATGATTTTTTCTTTAAAATGACTTTAAGATTTGTGCATAGATCAAGGAAAGTTGATTTATTCTTTTTGAACCCAACTTGACGAGGCTAAAAGATTTTTTCTGTAAACAATAAATTAACATAGTCTCTCATTCGTCACCTTTTCAAAGATTTTGTTAAAGAAGGATAATAAAGAGATTGGTCGGAAATTTGAAACGTCAAATTTAGATGCCGATTTGAGAATTGGCAGTACTTGCGTATTTCATTGACTTGACATTGTACCTGCTGCTAAAGAAGAAATTGATTAGAATGTTGAGGGCTTGCTTATACACTCCCCTCACGAAAGTATCCGGACAGTTTCGAATTCAGTTGCGAATCTGTTGTTAGAGAAGTTTGTTTACAACTGTCAGTGTCAGTTTTCATGAAAAAGTTTAAATCATTTTCTTCGAACTTTTTCTTGAAGTGTTTTTTTTGCCTTTAATCTATGTATTCGTCGAAAAAATATAATTTTGTCGATATTTAATCAAACTCTGCGAGGGTTTTTCCTCAAGATGGTAGCGACCGAAACACATGAACTGACTTCTGAGCAGTGTCTAGAGATAATGTTTTTTCACAATGATGGAAAAAAGCCATCAATAAATGGCTAATAATATTGGATGCACAAAGACTCCAACTTTCAAGCTATGCAAAAAAAATTGAAAAATAAGAAGTCTAAAAAAATGTTCACGGTCAAAAAGAGCAAGAGTTCTCGCGACACCAACGTCTGAGCGTTCCGCCCTAACCAATTTTGCGTCAAAACTGGTTTGCATCATCACGCAAAATTGTATTAAATGTCCATAAACAATTGAACTTACAAGAAAATTGCAAGAAAATTGGTAAAAATTGTAAATGTACCCTCGTACCGACTGATTTCAGGAAGACTTGCAGCGGTAAAGAAATAATATGGCTTTGTGTCTGCTTTGAACGAAAGTTTTTGATTTGGTAAAATGTTACCAAATGTCATCCATGTTTTATAATCGATCGGTGGCATCTCCATGCAAACATTTTTTCCAACTGAGAGTAAATACGTTGTATTTCTCTTTAATCGAAAATATTTTTGTCTCAATAACCAGTTTGTAAAAAATTACCATGTTTTATTTGCCGATTTTAACTGAGTCCAAGTAACCTGACTTTGCTGTTTTCCGCTTATTTGATATCAGTTGATTTGCGTAAAGCTTGTAGCGCAAAGGTTTCTCAAAAAAATATAACGGATAAAAAGCACAGATATTTTGCATCATTTTAATGTTTTGGTTTATTTTAAAAGGGTTTCTCAAAAAATTATTATCACAAAGTTAACAAGTCGTTTTCGCCAGCCTTCCTACTAGCCTGGGTTAAAACATATCTGGGTTAAAAGTTATCCGTTTCTGCGTCGTGTTCCCACTAACCCACTTGAAAAACGGATAAGTTTGAAAACGGCTCTCAAAGTGGGTCAGTTTTTACCCGGGTATCTTTTGACCCACCTGCGAGTTAATGGAAACACTGAAACCCGGATTACTTCTGACCCACTTGCAACAATAGCAACGTTTAAAATTTGAGATGGCGCCAAAATTCAAAAAACAAAATCCTGAATGTCAATGTTGCTTCCATTGGCATACAACGATAGAAATTGAAGGATTATTGATGCAAATACTGATTTCTCTTACAACTTTTCACCCTGGATACATTTTAACCCGGCTTAGTGGGAATGATCAAACACGGATTAAAAACGGGTCGAAGAAAAATGCCGTTTCCATTGACTTTCACTTTCAAATGACTTTCATTTGACGTTCACTTTCAAAACGGTTAACTTTTAACCCGAATATGTTTTAACCCAGGTTAGTGGAAAGACTGCCTAAATTTGTTTTTGTCTGAAAGCGCAATCGATCTTCGAACTGTCCGGGTATATTCGTGAGGGGAGTGTATGATATTTCATTACCTTAACAAGCAAAGCTGGTATGTCATAATGATTGTTAGCTTTTGAGGTGTCCAAACTGTTTATCTGATCAAGTATCTCAAACTCTGTTGCAGGGGTCAAAACAAACTCTGTTGCAGGGGGGGGGGACTTTTGATCTTTTTTACTTTTGATTTGGGATAATTTTTTTAAAAATCGATTTCAGTATACAGTACCGCCGGAACTAAATTGATATTGGGGGGGGGGCTGCCCATTAAATTCTCATTCAGTGCAGTCCCCCAGCCCCCGGTTCCAGCGGGCCTGATATACCGTTTGTAACCCAAGGATTTATCTACTGTCTTGCTTTTTTTTAGATACAGCCTTCAGTATTTTTCGATAACATTTAGAATAGTTTCCTGAAAGCAGTTTATCATCAAGATTATTGTGCGAGAGTGCTATAGAATCGAAACTTATTTTGCTAATTTCATCAATGAATTCAGATCCCTTGTAGTTTTGGTTTGATTTTCAAAAGAATTCTTCAAACCGTAAGACTGCAAAGTTTCTATAACTTTCATGACCTTTTGTCAGGCTTTTTAATCATGACCACAAATCCACCAGACTATTTAAATTTGGCGGTCCTCTGAACCAACAAATCTGTAATGAAAGTTCCTCGATCCAGGCTTTTCTAGAAAACTCCGCGTTTGTGTTGAACGACCACAACAACAGCACGCTTCTCAGTAAAAATGGCGTCAGTCATGAATAGGATAGGGACTATCGAATCCGACGAAGATGTTGAAATCTGTGAAGACAGCGATGATGGAATGAAAGAAGAGGTAAATTTTTCAATATGTAGCGGTACACATTAGATGGCATCAATAAATCGCTGCGTCTGCTTCGATTTTTACTTCTACTAAACACAATCTTGCCTATCCCTCCTATACTTATTTTCCGGATTGGAATCTTAAAAAATTCGTGGGGGATCTGTTTCATGTCCATGAAAATTGCGCATTTGCAAATAGGACGAATAAAGATTTTGTGCGGTTGAGACTAATTACCATTAAAACACAGTATGTAGCTTTTGGGTCTACATTTCAGAGAAGAACATTAATAACATCAGTAGCGGTGATAAAAACAATATAGCAAAGATAAACATCTTTCATAATTCCTGAAACTAAGAACGAGGGGGACCCAACCAGATGAGGATAGTTTCCGTAAACCAAAATCTGCTCAAACTTTGAAATCTACATGCATTGTAATGAAAATTTTTGGTCATCCTGTCCCATGTTTATTTTACTCCCAGGAAAGATAAAAATATCCTTTACATGTTTGCTGTTATGTGGCAGGTTTTCAGCAAACTATTTATTAATTATCATGTTTATTCATTATAAGGTTTTCAGCAAACTCATTATCATGTTTGCAGGTTTTCAGCAAACTATTTGAAATATTAATGCACTAGCGCCTGTCCCAATTTCTTGAAGTCTGTGAGGTATTATCCTGCATGCAATTTGGTTTCCGCACAGGTCACTCGACTGATCATGCTCTTATTAGTTCAACTGAAACTATAAAATCTTCTTTGGATAAAAACAGATTTGGATGTGGAATTTTTATTGATCTTCAAAAGGCTTTTCATACAGTCAACCATGATATACTTCTAAAAAAGTTGGAACATTATGGTATCAGGGGCACTGCTCTAAGTTGGGTTCAATCTTACCTTATTAACCAATAAAACAGTTTGTTTCAATAAATGGCCATTCTTTTTCTCTCACAAACATATCTTGTGGTGCTCCCCAAGGATCAGTTCTTAGGCCTCTGCTATTTTTAATTTACTTCAATGACCTATCAAATTGATCACAGTCTCTATCTTTTTTTCATTTTGCTGACAATACCAACATTTACTGTGACTCTGATAACCTTCAACTTCTAACCAAAAAAATCAACAGAGAACTAAAGAAAGTTAAGCTTTGGCTTGATTCAAATAAGCTTTTGAAAAGACAAACTTTTTACTATTTCACTTCCCCAGGAAGAAATTGTCAGAATTCACCAAGGTCAAAATTGGTAAACAGTATATTCAATGGACTAAGCATCTAAAATTTTTAGGAGTTCTCATAGACAAATATCTGACTTGGAAGTACCACACAATTGAGCTTTGTAAAAAACTTTCTAGAACTGCTGGTATTTCTTCAAAGTGCAGCATTATGCCCCCTTGCCTGCTCTTGTCTCTCTCTACAACTCCATTTTTTTGTCTTTCCTCAACTATGGTATTTCAGCCTGGGGATTGACTTTCGAGTCCTACCTAAACCCACTCTTTAATCCTCAAAAGAAAATTCTTCGCTGCATTAAATTTGAAATCTTCCTTTCTCCTAGCATGCCACTGTTACAGTCATTAAAGACTTTAAAAATTGTGGATATTCTGCACCTGAGCATCTTAACCTAACTGTTTATAAATCTCTTAACAAGCTATCTCCTTCATGCTTCCATGATTACTTTCAGACAAATTCGTCTTTTTATAAAATTGGGACTCGCCAGGCTACAAGAGGCGATCTTTTTAAGTTCATAACAAGCTATCTCCTTCATGCTTCCATTACGGTCTACAAACAATTCAGTACTTTGGTTTAAAACTTTACAATTAAATAAGAATCCTGTGTTGCTGGATGAATCATTTTAAAAGAAATGCGCAGCAGGAATCGCAGCTGATACTTGGATTGTGCGGGGGATTAAAATTCTAATCTGGCTAATTTTTATACTTACTAACAGTTCTTAAAGCTGTCTAGAGTAGGAGCATTTGCAATCTTCTCTGGCAAATTGTTCCAATGAGTGGTAACTCCTTAGGATTGGCAAAAATAATTTTTATTCTACATAGAAACGACAAATTGGTCATGAAAGATATATAGGAACAAAGCAATATGACAACGAGAATCCAATGTCACGAGATAAAATTTTCAAAATGAATTAAATTTAAAGAATATGCTAATATTTCGCCCCAAGCATACAGGGCTTCATCAGAGAAAAAAAATGAAATTGGTCATGTTTGTTTCAAATAAAACAGAAATTTCTCCTGGATTCATTGAAACAAATATTGGGGTAAATTTTAGACAGATAAGTAGCTTTAAGATTGCTCTACTTGGATATAATATTACCTCAAAATAAGCAAGTAAAATTTTCCCTAAAATTATTTGCACAAACGTTGTATTATTTTAAATGAAGTTTTCTGGTCTGTTATGTCGGGAAATTTGGAAAAATCCACTTCCATGTAAACAATATTGCATGAGTTAAGGTCCATGAAATAATGGGTAGTAACACAATAGGGAGGAACAGGCCTTTCCCGCAGACGCGGGCTATAGTCTGCACCGTGGAAAACCCCATGCAAAAAAGTTTTGCAGGAGCTTTTTTCTGCCCACCTAGTTGTTTATAACAACGCTCTCATTGAATCTGCTTCTTCTCACTCTCTAATGTTTTAACTACCTAACGCTATTTATCAGGGTATTCATAAATAATGTCGCGTCAAAGAGATATCTGGTTTTTATAAATAACGTTATAAGAAGTAAATTTCTGTTTCTTTGGACATCAAATGTTAACAAACTATAGTATTACCTGTTACAACTAGCAATGGAATAGATAATGGTTGTGCAGGAAAGGAACAACATAAAGCCTAAAATAGCAAGAATGAGAATTGTTACACAACATTGTCAAGTACAAAATTTGTGTTATGAATACACTCATTTTTTATAAGAAGCAAACTATAAGAAACGACAACTGGGCATTGGGGAAAAATTAAAAAAGTTCGTAAACAGGAATAATTCATTTTTGCTCTTTGTCTCTTCAACAAGGTGAGATAGATGGTTGGGATTTGTCAAAAACATAGAACCAATCATTCACCCTGTCTGAACTCTCTCGTTACTTTTGATCCGCATTTCTGCTTCCCATTATGCTTTGAGGTTTATGTATATGTTATTCGCCAACTTTTATCATGTTATTTTTTCGCTCTTCTGTGCTTTTTCAGATTAAGAAACTCTTAAGAAAGAATGAGTATATTGGAATTTCCTATAGCCATTAAGAAACTGGAATACTCCAAGTCAACCTTCATTTCTAATAGAAAAAAAGTGTATTTCAGTTATTCTTTCTTGAATTTTTAATGCGAATCAACTCAATCTTCCATTATTTTTTAAATAACATTGTACTGCTCTTTAGCTTTTTGAATAAAGACGAGTTTCATTGGATAATACTCAATAAATCTGTGTTCCTACACAAAACGTTACCATTTTGCAAAAAAACCTGATTGTCATTTTAGGAGTAGTAATGCACACAAAACTCTATTCTATTTGTTAAAAAAGTTTATTTGAATCACCTATGTTCACTGTTCATTTATGAAGACACTAATGAACCAATCACTGTTCACAATTGGCAGTGGAAGATGTTCTAAAAGAAGCTGTAAGTCTAAAATTTCAGTGATTCAATACAATTCAACTTTTAACAACACAACAAACATGCAGATATCTGATAAATTCAAACAATTCTTATTATATACAGCATATGAAATCCATTAAATGATAAAAAATGAATGTTTTAATTATACCAGCATCATTAACTTGATGGCAGCAGGTTAACACAATAAGACAAACTTTTCATAAATAAAACTATGGTAAATTATTGTTGGTATGCAATTTTTAAAAAATTAAACTAGAATTTTCAATCAGGCAATTAAATATCACTAATAAATGGTGCTATCTAATTATAATGGTCAGTTATGGTTTTTCAGTGTTTCCATGATTTAGCACTCAGGCTGCGTGAAATTCTTAATATGGCTGTTTCATGATTTTGTAAACCAACCAAAAACACTGGATATTGTACAATTTCAGCCAAATTTGCACACTGAGCTAATGGTAGAGGGTGTTCCTGTGCTTCGATAATCTTGATAAATGACAAAATCCAGAAACAAATGCCTATTTTCCTGACATGAAATGGACAGTTACAATAATTTAGCTTGTTAATCGAGTTTGTATACAAAATGAGTACAGCCATTCAGCAAATTTCTTGGCCTTGCAATCCTTAGTCAACAGATATGTGGGGATTAGATTAGAGAAGGAGCTTTTGTAATTTCTTGTCATTATTTATGCCAGGTCATATGCTGGATTCTTCTAATTTCTGGTGATGTCACAACCAAATAAATTACAACTGGGGGAAGGCAAAATGCCACTAGCATAGATGCTTCTGGGTGTTTCTGGCATTTGTTTGTGCAATGCTAGGCTAAATTCGGGCATCCATATCAAATCATCTATACTTTTGGAATGTTGACACCCTTACCTAACAGATTTTTTTGAAGTTTTTACCAGAAATAGATATCAGTAGAAAGTCCTGAAATTTGAAGCATCTAACGCCAAATGGTTTATGAGTTGTGCGTTTTTTAAATTTAATGTAAATCGTGTTTCTCGACAAAAATCGGCCATTTTGAATTTACTTTATTTAAATATTTTCAGTTTAAGAAATGCTGTGGCTCTACAAATTCACTACAAATCTACAAAACTACCCAGAGACAAATACAAGTTCAAAAATACCAAATGGTCAACTTTTCTTGAGCTATTCACAAATCCATAAGTTTTTCACCATATCGCAAATAACTTGAAAAAAATCATATGGCAGTGTAGATGTTTGGATTTTTTCTTTTGGAGATGATTATACATACACTAAACTTCATTTTTTCCAAATATCGAGTTAGGTTCTCTTTTTATGCTCTCATAGTGAAGAAACAAAGACAAGTTATTTTTCCAGCCCTCTAATATTAGCTCTATCAGATACCATTTGTACAGTAAAAAGAATTCATAGAAAAGAAGAAAGGTAAACAGGCAATTGTCATGTCTTAAACATTAAAGGACTTTATACTTGATGAAGTAACATTGGTTTCATATCAGGCTAGTAAAATATGGGAAAAATTAAAATCTATAAAAAATTCATGCCTCGCATACATATTCGTCAACTAAATTGTTTCTTGACATAAGAACAAGGTCCCAGTATTACTTGTGACATGCCAAACTATAGACCTCTTTTAGGGTAATTTTAATTGCTCCCTTTCTTGAAATTTCTCTCCCAACTATGTAATTCGCAAACAAGTTCGGTTGACTCTAAAACAGGAAATTGAATCCTGTTTAGGAAACTTTGGCTAAGAAAGGTGAATAAGTGTCAATTGGATTGAATCAACACCAAATTCACATGTTGCTCAAACAAGTTATGTTAAATCAAAAACAGGAAATTTAACACTGAGACGATATGGCAGAGATTTTGGTAAGTTGCTAAAAACACCCTGCAACAAGTTAGATTTCTGCAATATCAGAAATAGTGAATGAGAATCAGATTCAAGTGAGGATGAATTTATTATAACGAAGCACAGTAGTAAAACTTGTTGTTCATTTTGTTCAGTTGCAGAAAAAACTTCAAAGATAATTCCCTTTTTGTTTTTGAGACTACCTTCTTACTAACGTGTGTGGTCTTTTATAAATGGATCCATCAAAAATTTTATTGATACATTTTACATTTTCTTAAAATCGCCCGCCTGATTCCAACAAGTAGAGCGACTTACCAGCCGTCCGCCAAAATTCTTTAGACCAGATCTGAATAAACCTTTTTGTCTTGGATTTGCTTCTTTTCTTTTCTTGTTCTTGCTACAAGAAGTAGCTGAGCTTCTTTAAAAATAGGTGGAAAGACCCAATCAGCGAACACTTATTAATTTTTTTAATTTTTTTTCAGCGGACAGTTCACAGTGTCCTTGTGCACAATGAACCCAACACCTTTCTTATGAGTGCCCTCTTGGCCGCTCCAACACAGTCGTGGACCTTTCTGCGCACTTTTTATTCTAGCTTTTAGTAATCGTGATTAGTAGAACCCTATGATATTCCAGCGGTAACTTGTCAACTCGTGTTCCAGTTCTTCACGTTTTCCTGCATCGTTCAATGTTTTTATATTCCAAGTGTCAATGGTGATGTTACTCCTGGCACAGATCTTTTCACCTTTCACCTCTAACTACTTTTCACCTCTGCCGCGATGTCCAACAGAAGGCGCGGTCCTTGGTAACCCTGGTGGCAACCGAGCTAGTGTCTCGCCCTGGTCTCGGTACTTGATTGAAGGGGCCTTCAACCGGAAGCTCATACAACCAGCGATGCAGTACCAGCTTCGCCATGCCTCAGGCAGTACTGTGTTACATGTTTTGCCAGATAATCCACCCGTTAATTTTCATTTTGATTGATAAATCTTATTAGCATTATGGATTTCCAATTCAATGCAAAAGTTCGTTCCATGTAGATGTATGAATTTTATCCAATACTAGCAACTAACAAATAATGACTAATAAATTGTGCATAATTCCAACGTATTGCGCTCTGTAAAGTAGCAAATTGATCGACAGGACACTGACATAAACCATGACAGCTTAAGGCCCAGTGTCCTAGAGTCTATAGTAGTAAATCATTAATTGCATGTGAAGCAGAAATGTTTGTGTAACAAGTCCTCCATAACTACTGCCCACAACTATTGGAGACATGGCGGTATTTTCTTCTAAATCGATAGACAAATGTTTTATCATTTCAATTTGCAACTTCATTGTATTAATTTCTGTTTACCTTTAAGTTTCTATCCATTTTCAAACAACTTCCACAGGTCACAAGTAAAAAGAAAAAGAAGTTGAAGTTGAAAAATACTGGAATGTTCTGTGATGATTTTCTTTTTGAATCGGATTCTCTTCATGATGATAACCACTGGAAAATTGACAAACATGTACAGAAGTCAGCGAGGGGTCAGGTATTGCATTATTGATAATGTTGTTCCATTTTCTTGATAATCCAAGAATTTTTTCTTTTTATTTGGTTAACTTGTATTTGTATTTTGGTTTGAATTCATTAAAGGCATGCAACAAAACCTAGTTTTCAAACACTGTTAACATTCTCTGCTTAAAGGTAACTTCAACGAAAACTCCAAAATTTTTAGTCATATCATTTCATTTCGGATTCTTTCCTTTTTTAGAAATCGACATTCAGTCTTGAAGATAGAATAGAAATGAAACGGAATAATAAACAGGTTTGTTCTTCCTTTCTCTTCTCGCCATTTAAATATGATAATTTTAGCCATTTTGAATATATGTTAATGTGAAACATACTTCCCAATTTTCTACAATTTTTATATATGAAAAAACGATTTCAGTATTGTGAATGTGAGTAATATCAACTAGTATCTGCTACTTTTGATTTCTTTCTACATTGCGATTGAAGAGAAAGCCATCGTCTCAAACTTGAAATATCCATGCATGTAAGGTCATTACATAATTAACAAGTGTCATGATTTTTATGCTTGCTTTGAAACATAATTTTATGTTAATGATTATTGATATATTCAGTAGCGTGCGATTGACAGCATATTCCTCTCCAGTTAAAACTTTTTCTCCTTTTTATCTTTTTTAAGGTTGTAGAGGCAGAATCTGAAACAGTACATGGCAAGGATGAATCAATCCAGTCTCAATCGAATGGTAAGTCTTGTATTGCTATCTTTGTCAATCGTTGACTTTTTTCATAGAATCTTTGCACTTCCCTGAATTTTCAATTTGTTCTTGTAGCGCTCTTTTCAGAATAATTTTCATCAATGATTTACCTACTATAGAACTCTGCTTAAGTAATTTATCCAGGACAGTCTTCTACCATAACTTGCAGCATTGTTTGGTATATTATCTTATTGAACACGTAAATCATATTATAGATTTGGAATATTTATTGGCTGCAAGAGAGAATGAGCAAACGAGCAGCGAAGATGAGTGCTCGTCTGACGATGTATGTGTATTTGATTTGTATGTATATCTAATTTCGGTATTTAACAATGTATGTGTATCTTTCAACGTTGAAGTGTATTTAATTTCTTGACTTGCGTTGATGTCTTTAGACTTAATCCACTCTCATAATTTTTATAATACAATTTGAAAATGGCTTTGAAAAAGCAAACATTTTACGACATACTAAAAGCTTTTTCGTCTGACACTTCTCAGAGCATAACACGTCAGAATAAGGTATAGTTGGCCAATCAGTGCCGCGAGCCTAAAGAAAATTTACCAATGGTGTCCAAGAGAGAAAACGAACTCCTTCTGTGTACACAATGACTGCTTTTTCGTTTTTATGCAGATCGACTCCAAAACTGCTAGATGAAAGGACGACCGGGCTCTGCCAATTATCCGAAACATGTCGTGTTCTTTCGGAACCTTATTCTGACGTTTTATGCTCTGAGGAGTGTCAGACGAAAAAGCTTTTAGTATGTCGTAAAATGTTTGCTTTTTTCAAAGCCATTTTCAAATTCTGTACCGCAAAAAAATTGAATACAATTTGACTTTGCTAGTGCCAGTTTTACGAAAAAATGCGATTTAACTAATTGCGACAAAGATATAAGATTTGCAGATTTAGGTCAGAACTTATTTTACCAGTTTTAAATTTTGTGATACTTTTTCATTGCTGAAGGAGAATGGGCTATGTTTATCTTACTTGAAAACCAATATCAAAATTAAATTGCAGCCAGACAAGATAATGGATGAGAGCAATTTTTTTGAACACCCAGAACCACAGGTGTTACAAGCCAATTTTTCCAAGCTTAATCTTTCAAGACCTTTGCTACGGGTACGTAATTCTTTGTAACCACTTTCACTCTGGAGTGACTCCTTTTTAGCCTTGAGGTCCCTGGAGAAGATTAGTTGTTAGGCTAACCAGGTTTATCCTCTGTAAATAAAGTTTATCTATCTTATCTATCTAATTACCGCGAATAACTTGATGTGGCTTTTATTAAAGATGAGCCGTTTTAAGCATCATTTATGCTCTACTTTCAAACTTACTTGGCCTTTTACTGACAAGCTTAAATCAAGCAATCTCAGGAGCAATTCGTCTTTTTTATGCAGATTTGTATTTTATATAAATATTTATTTTGAAAAGCCTCTTGATGATAAACGTGTTATTTTATATTTTAGGCTGTTAATGAGCTTGGCTTCCAGCGCCCTACACCAATTCAGTGCTCTACTATTCCGGTTGCTCTGCTTGGGAAAGACATTTGTGCCTGTGCAGCGACTGGAACTGGTAATTCCTCTTTATTTTATACAATAACTTAGAAAAATTCAACTTCTTCTACCAGAAAAGAATGTCTTTAATTCTGAACATGCATATGATTCCTATATATGCATGTTTCCCTTGTATAATAAGCCAGACAAAATCAAAAATGCTTTTGTTTGCCTATTTGTTTTTCTATTCCTAGGCAAGACAGCTTCCTACATTCTCCCAATCCTCGAAAGACTTCTTTTCAGACCAAAACAGGTTCCAACTTCCAGAGTTTTAATTCTTCTACCAACCAGAGAACTGGCAGTGCAGGTATGGATATTATTGCCAAGAAATTTTCTATTTCATTTGATCAAATTGAAATCAAAACACGTCTAAGAAACCAGTTTTAAAGTCAAAAGTAAAACCTTTGTGAGCCTCACTGTGAATTTGGTATTCTATGAAGTTTAGAGGCAGAAATGTAAATATGACTTTTTTTCCTTGATTAAAAGAAAGTATCAATTCTAGGTATATACAGTTTGCAAGTCAATAGCGAAGTATTTAGATGTGCAAATTTGCTTAGCATCAGGTTTGTATAGTTACTTATTCGCTGTTGCTGAAACAATTCGTGGTGATTCGCTGTATGTGTGCGTTGCAATGTGGCAAATGATTAACCACGAATGATCAACCCTTGCCTACCTCAATACCACCGAGCTAGCATATTTTTATCCACCTCTTCTAAGAGTATGGGGCGTAAATTATAGCCAAGAAGTGACCGGGCTTTTCGACTGTCAGTGGTACAAACCATGAATCTTGGGTGTGCCATCTGTTAAAATACAGAACATAACGAATTTATTTCATAAAGAAGGCCCATATAAACAACCTGCTGTCTTCTATTTCACTGCCTTCATCTAGTGAACCATTTGTCAACTATCGCAGCGAATTATCTTTGTGCCTTATTTTGTTCGTTGTGATTCACATCTCAATTGCTTTTAGATTTTTACTGTTCCTGTTACCTTACGACCATAACTAAGACCAATGAACGGAAGATTCGTGAGGCACACAGCTTTATTAGATCATTTAATCCTATCTTGCTGTAACACTGCAATTTGATTATTCGACTTCTTCTGTCAAGGCGGTATGAAGATGAAGGACCAGGAAGCGGAGCTTAGAAGAAATCCAGATATTATTGTTGCCACGCCAGGACGACTTGTAGATCATTTGCAAAACACACCTTCGTTTGGTTTGCAAAATATTGAGATTCTTGTTGTTGATGAAGCAGACAGGTATTTGCCAGTTTCTCTTTTTTTGTCTCACGTGCCTAAAATTGCGTCATGATGTGATGAAACAAAAAATAATTGTATTGCCGCGTTTAATCAATATAATTGGGCTTCAAAATTGAAACAGACAGGTGTGAATATACTTAAAAATATAACATATGTAATATGTAATGCAAGAAATTTCCCTTGTGTGTTGTGTTTGTTTTGCGTGTCAAAAATGTATTTGAAAAATTTACAAATTTATTTTTGAATAGAATGCTGGAAGAACACTTTGAGGATCAAATGAAAGAGATAATCAAACAGTGTCAGAAAGGAAGACAAACTATGTTGTTTTCTGCAACAATGACTGACCAGGTATGCTGAAGTCTGAATTCTTAAAAGTTGTTGTAATTCTACTGGCTTTTGCTCTGAACATCATGAGCCTGAAAGAAACCTCACATTCGTGATTGCTCTCCCTTGATTCTCCAGGTTGAAGAACTGGTGTCTTTATCGCTTAACCGCCCAGTTCGCGTCTTTGTCGACCAAAACACGGATGTTGCTTCCTGTTTACAGCAAGAGTTTGTCCGGATACGTCCAACAAGAGAAGGGGATCGTTTGGCTATCGCAACTGGTATTTCGTTGTTCAATTTTTAATTCTAGAAAATTAATTAATAGGAATACATTAGGACATTATCATACAGTTCACATTTTTCGTGAAGCATTATCAATTCACAGTCTATCAATAATGCTTTTGCTGAAATTGCCATTTACGAGCCGTCATTTAGCTAAAGACGGCTGCTTTTCTGAATGTGTTCATCCGTTGAGTTTGCTTCTGTTGTAGCACTTTGCTGTCGCACGTTCAATGAACACTGCCTCGTGTTTTGTCAGACAAAGAAATTGGCCCATAATTTAAGAATTATTCTTGGTATGTTCGGATTGAAAGTCGGAGAGTTACATGGAGATCTTAATCAACTTCAGGTTTGTGCTTTGAGCTTATTAAACTAATAAATAGTAAGATTGTCCGCTCGAGTTAAATTTGAAAGTAGGCATCATATTGGGATATTTGCCTCTTCTTTTTAGCATTTGCAAGTAAATCATTTCTATACTCATGTATTCGTTATCATGAATCACATTTCAAAAGATGCCCTTTTTTAGCGCCTAGAGGCATTGGAGAATTTCAAAGATTCTAAGGTTGATGTATTAGTTGCAACAGATCTTGCTGCAAGAGGACTGGATATCCCTGGTGTGAAGACTGTAAGTTGATAGTTACTTGCTGCCACTATCATCACAAATTCGTTCCTTATTTTAATGCTATTTTTCTGTGACCGCCCGTACAGCAAATCTTTCTTTAAAAGATCTCACCCATAGTATTTTACATAAATTAAGGGCCATTCCCTTTTTAACGTGAATCTGTTTACCTTATATTTTCCAGGTAATAAGTTTTAATATGCCCACATCGTTTAAAAGCTACATTCATCGCGTTGGCAGAACGGCGCGAGCTGGAAAATTTGGAAGGTCAGAAAACGCTTAATTTTTTAAGATTTTTCGGAATTGCTATATCGTCTCTCATTTTATTGCCATTGCTGTTCAAAGTTTGGCCTAAGCTGTGAACGAAGCAAAGAATCTGTAACGTAATTTGAGTCAAATGGTTTGATCCACACAAACGGCTGTAGAGGTGGAGTTGACAACAATTTCAACGAATTGAGTTCTCGTTTGGTAACAATATCAAGTGAACAACGAAGCTAGCTTAATTATATATATAGAGAGAGTTCACTCATGAAATCCAGTTCACTTTCCGCCATCTGTGAGCTCTAAGCATGATCATTATCGTTTCTGTGTGGCTAGGCCAAATCAAGTCACCGCAGCAGACAGCTTAATATGGCGGCAGCTTTCTAACTCTGGTTCAAAACATGTTGAAATAAACGCTATTATTTCCTGTTTGTGTTAGGTCTAAACATTCCTCGTCATAATCTTTGTTTTTGCCTAATATACAACACTCGCTTTTTCTCCATCCCAACGCAAGCTGGATGGACTGTTAACGTGTTGGTTCAGTAGGCCTATTTTATTTTCATACACCTCGAGCAACATCTGCGATACATCCTGACGTCACTGGAGGCATGCTTTGTTTAGCCTCTATTCTGTGTTTTGAGACTTTCCGAGCCTTCTAACAGTATATTCACATTCTATCTTTGGAAATACTTTAATTCATCGAAATCAGCGAAAAGTTTCACGGTGGTTTCAAAAAAAAACTTGTGATATCTGGACCTTAAAAGCACTTTTAGTAAGTATTTAGTTTTTGTAAGGCAGTGTCACGCTTCTTACTTTCCTGCCTTTTAGAATTAAGATTACTTTTTAGATTTTTATTTTCCATCAGGTCAATAACATTAGTTGGGGAGAAAGAAAGGAAGAATCTCAAGTTTGCAATAAAGAATTCCGCGGTGGCTGTCAAGCACCGAATCATTCCACCAGGTTCGTTCATTCTAAATTCTACTTCGTTTATAGTCCATAAATTACTTGTTGTGTTGCTGCAATTAATAGAGACGTTTAAGAATTTGCAAAACAAAATTTTGAATTTGCATTTCATCCTGCCTTAAATCCTTGTCGTACTAAACAGTATCAAGAAGTTAAAGTTAGTAAATCCGCGTGTTTTCTAGCAGTTAGTTGTTTTCAGGATTATGCATTTCCCAGTTTTCATTGTTCATTAACGATTCGGTTAAATTTCAATTCTTTTAGATATCATTGAGTCATTCAAGAAAAAGATACAGGATGTTCAAAAAGATGTAGCTGATATCTTAAAGGATGAGGCAGAAGAAAAAGAGGTTTTTTATCGAATTACCTTTTCATTTATTCTTCACGCTGCTTCTTTGCTTTTCCACAAACAACAATTTTCAAGAAAAATGATCCATTTTTAAAAGATTGTGATTTCTATCTTTACCAAAGTTTTGTTGATTTCATATGTCTCATGTTTTGATGCTGTTCCAAGTGAACATGGAACATGTACATCAAACTTATGTATTAGCATTTCGTACAATCTCATTACTCTTTTGTGTCGCTTGAGACCTTAATACGTAGAAGCTTGTGAGTTTCTTGAGTGCCATTTACCTCATGCACATCATTCTAAATACACCTGTACTTCACAGCTACGTATGTCAGAGATGGAAGCAAACAAAGCAAAGAACATGATTATTCACCATGAAGAAATTATGAGCCGTCCCCCAAAATCTTGGATCAAAAGAGGTGAGTTTATATCATGCTCTATTATTTCGTTTATTAAAACAGAAGGTTAGCTTTGATTTGCATATACGAATCTTTTTAGTGCGTTAGAATTTTCTTAAAAGCTTTGACAGTCATCTCTCCTAAACAAGCAGGATATAGGGTTGCAAAGTGCTGGGTACTGTTTTTTCTAAGTTCATTTCGTCATTTGTAGTACAGTAATACCCCGCAAACAAGAACATTGGAAAATAAGAACTTACGGACTGCTTTTGTGGAAAAAGAGAACGAAAGATAAGAACCAAAAACAGACTGATTTCTTTCCATGTTCTTATGATATTGTACATATTGAATAAAACATGAAATTCTCAAACTCAGAAAGTATAGTTTTCAAGTCCTGGTGGATCTGAATTGACCTCTGAAGAATTGATCTTCAGAGCCATCAACTGTCAATAAGCATCAAGTTCTCTCAAATGATTTCTGAAATATATCTCCATACTCTAGAAGCTCTTCCCAGGCCTCTCCTGCCCATTTTGTCTCTGCCTGTACGTGTCTCTGCCTGGCACTTATCTTTTCATACCATTTCTCTATATTTTCTTCATCATCAAGCCATTTATCCATTTCATTCTCTATTTTCTTTTTGAACATCCTTCCTATGCCTGCATCAATTGGTTGGACCTTGTCTTGTCTGCGAATCTGGAAGCAAATAAACAATTGTATTACATGTTTCTCTGCAAGTTTCATGGAAAACTTTCTCAGTTTGAAATGAGACATTACCTGCAAATAATACATTCTCATTTTCTTTATCAGCGATTCCTGGTTTTAGTGTTCTTTCTGTCAATTCTCTTTTTGTTTTACTATCCATTCAAGCATTTTGTTGAAAGTAGACATCAATTCTATTGTTATACAGTGACTTCTAATCCATAGCTACATTGCCTTTACCTCTAAATACGATGGCTGGTTTTACTGATTGCTTGCCTTATCCTTTTATGTATAAGGTACAACTGCAAAGTAGCTTGTCTTTTGTCTAGGTCACTTGTTGGTTGACTAACCCATACCTGCTTGGTGCTTTTACCATCATAGGTCTTTCCTTGATTTACAATAAAAGGGAGTGAAACTTGATCCACATTACTCCTGTTCTCAGGGAACCAGTGGCCCCATTTTTTATCATTGCGTGCATTTGTATTGCGCTGTCTGCTTGTCTTAAGAGATTTCCTTAGACTTCTATGAAGCATCTAAATGGTTTCTCTGCAATCCTCTGATGAAATATTTTTCTTGTTGATTCTGTTACGCAAGGAAATTCGTGCCTTTTCTTTAATCTTTGGAACCAATTCTTATTTGCTTTTAAAGAAGAAGCTCTGTTACACCATAGAACTGTTCAACCTTGCACTTCATTCTCTTGCATAACCATAATTTTGAAACTCTAATACCATGTTGTCTTCTTCTTTTAAACTCTGATTCAACTAACTTTGCTGCAAGTGGAAATTCTTCTCTTTGGTCAATGTTATCAGATGTTATTTTTCTCCTTTGCCTTGCTGGTACTATATTTCCCTTCCCATTCTTGAGCTTGTTTGTATTTATCTCATCCTTGATCTTCAAACGCTTCTTGTTCCATTTTACAACCAAGCACTTATTTGGAATTCCCATAAAGTTTAAAACTTTCTGCCACTTATTCTTCATTTGATTTTGCGTCATTTGGTCTAGAAGTTCAATAGTTTTCCATTTGAAATCGAGAGTGTAGGATTTCCTCTCCGAGGAGTCTATCCAAATTTCCCCCTTTGGTGTTTGGATTTGACTAGCTTGAAAAGGCTGACAATCATTGTGCTCAGTGCCTACCAAATACACTGGTTGAGTGTTTGACATGTGCGGTCTGTTAACAGCCTCTTTGGAAACAGAAAGATTCCTGATGTTTCCAATGAACATGTATGTCAAGATATTGCTGAGATGTGAATTTGCATTTGCATACTACACACTGGACCTGACATACATCTAGGCGACCAGGAACAACGCGTATTTTCTTTGTAATGCCAAATCTAAAAAGTATCCGTTGCACCATTAACAGTTTTGAAAACAAATCCTGTCCGAGTACTCCGTTTCCCTCGTGGTTTTCCTTCCACAATCCTGGGAACGAAGCATCCTTTCCCGCCATTATATTTTCAACTCGAGGCCATTTCGTGGAAAAGAGGTTTTGAATGGTAGAGCCTAGAATAATCCATGCTAGAATCACAGCCACAGGAAATATCGAGAACTAGAATGGCAAAACAGATTGAGTTGTTTTGTGAATCTATAATGCGAGGTTATGATGCCTACATGAATGAAATAAAAGTAGGTATTGGAGACATTATGTTCTGTGAAATTCAAGATGAAAATGAGTATGATGATAATGCAGTTGCAATCAAGACCAAGGACGACGCAATTGTGGGGCATGTTCCTGAAGAACCTTCATCTCTTTTTACAAATTTCTTGAAAAGCATGGTGAAATTGAGGCAGAATGTATAGGCTGCAGATTCAACAAGAGTGGCGGAAAGGGGGTGGAACTCCCCATGGATTACAGATTCATTGGAAACATTTTTGACATTTTTGAAGCATTGCAAAACGACTCGCAGAAAATAGAGAAAAGTCTATTTTCAAAAGGCACTGAAGAAAGACTGAAAATTGAAATTTGTGACATAAGGCATTCAAATAAACCCATTCCTTGGCACTCTTTTTAAGTATATAGACATTTTTGTGATTGAGATCATAGAGAACATAGCAAAGCAAATGTTTAATTTGTTTTTGAAAAGCATACAAGTTTCTGAAAATGGGAGCCAAGTATTTCTAAAACATTTTACCATATCAATGTAATAAACTTACCATTTTTGATAACTGGACACCTCAAAGAATGTCAGGGATAAAGAAATTATTTTATTTTCATTTTTTTCATGTTTGATTGAAATTGGTTTGTCACCAACAAAATACCATATCCTCTAACATTTGAAATTCAGTCAGGTCATCCTGAAATCTAGCTACTTTTATCTTGTGCATTATAGTTGTTAATGTCCTTGCGATAAGAACCACACCCTGAAAATATCATAAGTACCACATTTATAAGAACCTAGTCAGTCTGTTTTTCAGAAAAGCAGGTTCTTGTTTGCGGGGTTTTACTGTATCGCATCCTCTAACTGCAAAACTACGAGATCTTTCACTATTGTTGTAGTTTATTTCTGATTTACTGATTTCTTTCTTATTTCTGATTAAGTTTGATTTACTTAATGCATTTATTTCCAATTTGATTTATTTCCAGTTAGGTAAATAAGAACGTGATGCAAAAATTAATGCATAATTACTCATAAATCCATTCCAGGTCCAGCATCTGGTTCTAAGGAAAAGGTTCCAAAAGAAAAGGTTAGAAAAATTATTCTATTCCATTTCTTCACAATCTTTACCTTTGGGCATTCTATTGATTTCATCTTGCTCTTTGTGACTTGCTGGAATATTCCAATGGAGAATTGACTATATTTTAAAGGACATTTTTGTGTGACTTCGTTTACAAGTTTTGATGTCTCAAGCAGGACTTGCTTATTAGTTAGAATTGACTAGTTTGAATGTCATTTGGATTTTATTGCTTACTGCACGCTTGTCAATAACTTCTTACTTACCAACGTCCTGCGTTTTTAAGTTCCACAAACAATGTCATTCACATTAGTCTTTGTTTCTAATGCCACTGTTATTTTGAACATTAAATAGAAGCTGTCGGCAAAGGAAATTCAATCTCTAAAGGAACAAGAATATTTGAAAAGAGCAACAAAGAGAAGCAATAAATCGAAAAGACTTCGCGCCTGCATAGAAAACAACCCTGTCACCTTAAGCGAAAGACGTAAGTATATGCGATTGCCTTTTTTTTTAGCACTTTGTTGCAAGAGCATGTCGTGGCAGTTTCTTTTTGTCTTAACTTGCTGTCATCTAAGTCTTTAATCAAGTCAAGGAACCTTTTCATATCTGCGAGAATTTTTTTACTGGCCTTTATTACCTGTTCCGTGGAAGTTATAAAATTTTTATGTAGTCAAATTTCAAACACTCTGAAACTTTAGGACAATCTTAAGTTGAAATCTAATTAGTTTGATAAATCAGAATCTTCGAAAAATACATATTAATTTTCCTATAATATCCAGAAATATTCAGTCTTAAAAACATTTCATCAAAAAGATTTCAACACAGTGAAAGCTTTCAACACAGAATGCTGCTAAAATAATCGAAATTTGAATGATGGGGTTTAGTTTTTAAAGAAGAAGGTGAAGGTGAGATTGGCTCAGTTTTTGGGGTCCCGGACCATAAACCTGTTGGTCTGTAATTCGATTAACAGACTTGAACAAACTTTCATTAAGAGATGCAAAAACCGTACAAACCTAACGAGTCTGGCTTGGATGACGGTTTTGGCAAGTAGAAGAAATGTTCTGCTGACAGAACAGAATTAGATGTTATTTTTTTTCTCTTTCAAAAAGCTCGAAAAAAAGCCTGATGCTTCGTTGAAATAGAGAAACATCACAGTTAAGATGTATTTCAGTAATTTTACATAGTGTTAAAATGAGGAAAGTTGGGACCATTAATGGCTGTTTTGAAAGAAGGTCTGTACCTTTTGGCTTTCATTTTTGAAGATCAATTCTATTTTCCCTGTAATTCCACGCGTAGGAATCGCGAGGTGTAGACTCATCGATCACGAAAGTTTAACCTTTGTATTTATAACCTTGACGTTGACCGATGTAACCATATGCCTAGTCCATCCCTAGTTTATTCCTAGTTCCATTATCTAATCGCTAGTTTCAAATTAGTTCTTTTTTCTTATTTTGTCTCTTTTTGTAATTTGGAAAGCCTTTAATTTTCCATTGTCACAACAGTTGAAAACTGTTTCATTTTGCAGCAAACCACAAAAAGAAAAAGACCGAAGAAAGAGCAAAAAAGCAGGGTTTCGAAAAAGAGTTGACAGATTCAAGTTTAAAATCACTTAAGGAGTTCCGAACCCGGTACGGAATTCCTTTGCCATTTTCTCTCCTTACATATCATGATTTGACTTTAGTGAGAGGTTTTATAGAAAGAATAGTTACTCTTCTGATATTCCTGTTAACAAGTGGGCGTTACGTGTGCTGCAATAGACTTTTTTCAAATAAATTTTTTGGCTGTACAAAATTTGAAAATGTCAGTTTTTAGCTTTCAGTGTTTTGTGAAGTGTTTGCTTTTTTCCAAGTCATAAATTTTTTTTCTTTCAAAGAAAATTTCTTTACCAGATTAAGGTATTGCATTCAAAAGTTCCACAAACACACATCGTTCGCAGATCTCAACTTGATTTTGGCACTTCAACTTAAATAATTTTCACAAAGAATTTGCTTTTCACCTGTAAATCCCAAATAAAGCATTTTTGTTAACCTTTTATTGTGAAATTGAACTTTGATGATCTTTTTTGGTAATCAACCCTTCTCAGTGTGTTGATGCAGTCCATTCCTGAGCTTACACATCACATCTTTTGTACTGAGCAAGTCAAACCATTTTTTATAGCAATATATATATAAAAAAAAAGATTGACCACTTTTTTAGAACAGTGTCATCGTAGAGCATTTCCATGAAAACGTTTTCATTGGCACTGTTTTCTATTATCGAGCTTTTTCAAATTATGAGAATTTTTTGCGATATACATTTTGCAGACAATTTCAGTGCAATATACTTACTTGTTAAAGTGGATACCTTTATAGCTTGAAATAGAAAAATTTTAAATTAACCTTGAGCTTAAATTTTTTTTCTTATTTCTTCTTCTCTTTTTTATATCTTCGCAAGGTCTTGCTCATCACCTTTCACTTTGATAGAAATTAAAATTTATTAATTTGCCTTTTTTTGAAAGATATGCAAAATCTTGCAAAGTCAGTGCTTGAGCCTTTTTTAGTTTGTGAAGAACTTTTGTACATCATGAATTTTTCAAGGAACCCATTTTCAAGTTTCTGTTTTTAAGGCCTGTGCTTCAGCACGCCGTTATTGTTGGTGTGGCAATCGACAAGTCTTTTATTTAAATGCAGAAATAACATGCCGGTCTTCTATTGTTCACAGGTCTGCTGTTAAAGCGAAGAAGAAGAGTGGACAGTTCAAATCAAAAAAGAAGTGAGTCCTTTTCTCTGCAGATTTGAAATCTTGTCACTGCAACTGTGATTAAACGTCACTTTAGTGAATCGCCAGTTGTTGCAGATCATTCCTTTGTTAGTCTATCACGGTCAAGATCAGAAACTGATTGCCTGGTTCTTTTCTATTATTAGGTTTAAGCGAAGATAAAAAGATCTTGTGAACGAAAATGGCTGCTTTGTGATATCTTTTGTAACACAGAACTAGGCTGGTATATATGGTGGAGCTGTGACAAGAATGTCTAGGGAAGAAGTGCATTTTAGTTTATCACGTAATAAATGGATATAAAATTTTTGTTTTTAATCGCATTGTCTCTTTTTACTCTCTGTCACCTTCTGAATAGTTTGTGTTCAAAAATAGTCCCAAAAAGGACAGTTTTGAGATTATGTCATCAAGAAATGTTCCCCTTGTGATGTCTGATCTAGAAAGCTGCACCTTTAACATCAACATTTCGAATGCCTGCTGATAGCCAGTTACTTTTTGCTACCCTAGATTTTAACTGTTCCAAATCCTGAATTGATCCAAATCCTGAACAGATCAAAATCTATTTTGGTATTTTCAAATACTAGTATGATATGTTTCCGCTTTACCGTGCTATTTTCAAATACTAGTTCAATATGTTTCCACTTTACCGTGCTATTTTCAAATACTTCTATCATCTGTTTCTGCTTTACCGTGCTATTTTCAAATACTACTATCATATGTTTCCGTTTTACCGAGCTATTTTTAAATCGTAGTATTATATGTTTCCGCTTTTTTCTGTTATTTTCAAATACTAGTATGATATTTTTCCGCTTTACCAAGATATTTTCAAATATTAGTATCATATGTTTCAGCTTTTCCGTGCTATTTTCAAATACTACTATGATTTCTTTCTGCTTTACCGCGCTATTTTCAAATACTAGTACGATATGTTTCCGTTTTACCGAGCTATTTTTAAATCGTAGTATTATATTTTTCCGCTTTTTTCTGTTATTTTCAAATACTAGTATGATATTTTTCCGCTTTACCAAGATATTTTCAAATATTAGTATCATATGTTTCAGCTTTTCCGTGCTATTTTCAAATACTACTATGATTTCTTTCTGCTTTACCGCGCTATTTTCAAATACTACTATCATATGTTTCCGTTTTACCGAGCTATTTTTAAATCGTAGTATTATATGTTTCCGCTTTTTTCTGTTATTTTCAAATACTAGTATGATATTTTTCCGCTTTACCAAGATATTTTCAAATATTAGTATCATATGTTTCAGCTTTTCCGTGCTATTTTCAAATACTACTATGATTTCTTTCTACTTTACCGCGCTATTTTCAAATACTAGTATGATATGTTTCCGCTTTACTGTGCTATTTTTAAATACTAGTATGATATGTTTCCGCTTAACTGTGCTATTTTCAGATAGCAGTATGATATGTTTCCACTTTTCCGTCTTATTTTCAAATACTACTATGATTTCTTTCTGCTTTACCATGTTTTTTTCAAATACTAGTTTAATATGTTTCCACTTTACCGTGCTATTTTCAAATACTAGTATGATATGTTTCCACTTTACCGTGCTATTTTCATAGACTTGTATAAAATTTTTCTGCTTTACCGTGCTGTTTTCAAATACTACTATGATTTCTTTATGCTTTACCATGGTATTTTCTCAAATTCTAGTATGATATGTTTCCGCTTTACCGACCTATTTTTAAATGCTAGTTTTATATGTTTCCGCTTTTTTCTGCTATTTTCAAATACTAGTATGATATTTTTCCTCTTTACCAAGCTATTTTCAAATATTAGTATAATATGTTTCAGCTTTTCCGTGCTTTTTTCAAATACTACTATGATTTCTTTCTGCTTTACCGTGCTATTTTCAAATACTAGTATGATATGTTTTCGCTTTACTGTGCTTATTTCAAATATTACTATAATATGTTTCCGTTTTACCGTCCTATTTTCAAATAGCAGTGTGATATGTTTTAGCTTTTCCATACTATTTTCAAATATTACTATGATATTGTTCCGCTTTACCGTGCTATTTTCAAATACTAGTTTAATATGTTTCCACTTTACCGTGCTATTTTCAAATACTACTTTAATATGTTTCACTTTACCGTGCTATTTTCAAACACTAGTATGATATGTTTCCACTTTACCGTGCTATTTTCAAATACTAGTATGATATGTTTCCGCTTTACCGTGCTTATTTCAAATATTACTATAATATATTTCCGCTTTACCGTCCTATTTTCAAATAGCAGTGTGATATGTTTTAGCTTTTCCATGCTATTTTCAAATATTACTATGATATGGTTCCGCTTTACCGTGCTATTTTCAAATTCTAGTTTGATATGTTTCCACTTTACCATGCTTTTTTCAAACACTAGTATCATATGTTTCCACTTTACCGTGCTATTTTCATAGACTTGTATAAAATGTTTCTGCTTTACCGTGCTGTTTTCAAATACTACTATGATTTCTTTCTGCTTTACCGTGCTATTTTCAAATACTAGTATGATATGTTTTCGCTTTACTGTGCTTATTTCAAATATTACTATAATATGTTTCCGTTTTACCGTCCTATTTTCAAATAGCAGTGTGATATGTTTTAGCTTTTCCATACTATTTTCAAATATTACTATGATATTGTTCCGCTTTACCGTGCTATTTTCAAATACTAGTTTAATATGTTTCCACTTTACCGTTCTATTTTCAAATACTACTTTAATATGTTTCACTTTACCGTGCTATTTTCAAACACTAGTATGATATGTTTCCACTTTACCGTGCTATTTTCAAATACTAGTATGATATGTTTCCGCTTTACCGTGCTTATTTCAAATATTACTATAATATATTTCCGCTTTACCGTCCTATTTTCAAATAGCATTGTGATATGTTTTAGCTTTTCCATGCTATTTTCAAATATTACTATGATATGGTTCCGCTTTACCGTGCTATTTTCAAATTCTAGTTTGATATGTTTCCACTTTACCATGCTTTTTTCAAACACTAGTATCATATGTTTCCACTTTACCGTGCTATTTTCATAGACTTGTATAAAATGTTTCTGCTTTACCGTGCTGTTTTCAAATACTAGTATGATATGTTTCTGCTTTACCATGCTATTTTTAAATACTAGTATGATATGTTTCCGCTTTACCGTGCTATTTTCAAATAGCAGTATGTAATGTTTCAGCTTTCCCTTTCTTTTTTCAAATATTACTATGATATGGTTCCGCTTCACCGCGCTTTTTTCAAATACTAGTATGATATGTTTCCGCTTTCATCATCATCATCATCATTAGCCTGTCACACCACTGCTGGCGGATGGCCTCCACATCTTTCTCCACTCATCACGGTTTTGGGCACTCCGGGTCCACGTGCTGCCTGCCTTCTGCTCGATCTCATCTCTCCATCTTCTCTTTGGTCTTCCCTTTCCTCTCTTCTTGTCCCACGGAGTCCATTCTGTCGTTTTCTTAGCCCATTCGTGGTTCTTCATTCGTGCTACATGTCCTGCCCACTTGCCTTTGGCTTCAATCACTTTCTCGATGACATCCTTCACCCCTGTTCTTGATCTTAAGTCTTCGTTCCTGATCTTATCTCTCCTCGTAACACCCAGCATTGATCGTTCCATGCTCCTCTGGGTGACTGCCAGTTTCTCTCTTTGGCGGTTGGTAAGTGACCATGTCTCAGCTCCATACGTCATTGATGGCAGTATGACAGTGTTCATGATCTTCCTTTTGAGACACATGGGCATTCTTTGATCTCTCAGAAACGTGCTGTACTGTCCGAATCTCTTCCAAGCAGATGTTACTCTCTCGTCTATTTCTTTCGCCATCTCATTTCCTGGTGTTAGCAGTCTTCCCAAGTACTTGTACTCATCCACCTCCTCCAGTTGTTCTCCATCCGCAATTATTCCTTTCCTTCTTCTTTTCCTAGCTATTTCATTGCACATGATTTTCGTTTTCTTTCTGTTCATTTTCATGCCATCTTTTCTCCCTTCCTTGTTCAGATCGTTGATCAGCTTGCTGAGATCCTCTTCCTTTTCTGCAAATAAGATGATATCATCTGCAAATCTCAGGTTGTTCAATCTCTCTCCGTTGATGTTAATTCCCACTTCAACTTCCATTCTCCTGAATATTTCTTCCAACGCTGCTGTGAACATCACTGGTGACAAGGTGTCTCCTTGCCGCACTCCCTTCATGATCTTAATCTTTCGGCTAAGTGATTCGTTCCGAACCTGAGCAGTGCCTCCATCATATGTCTCTTTCAGGATGTTGATGTACTTCTTCTCTACGCTGTGCTGTTTTAGCGCTTCAAAAACAGCCTTGTGCAGTACAGAATCAAAGGCTTTTTCGTAGTCTACAAACGCCATATGAATGGGTATTTTATACTCATTGGTTTTCTCGAGTATTTGCACTACTGACTGCAGATGGTCGATGGTTGAATGACTTCTTTTGTAGGCAGCTTGTTCTGGCGGCTGGTGGTCACTCAGATTGTTATTCAACCTGTTCTTCAAGATCTTCATGAAGAGTTTGTAGACTTGGGAGAGTAAACTGATTGGTCTATAATTAGCAAGGTCTTTCTTGTCTCCCTTCTTAAATATGAGTGTTATAATGACATTTTTCCACTCGTTGGGTATCTTTTCTTCAGTCATCACTCTATTGAAGAGTGTTCTCAGCTTTGATCTCACAACTTCACCTCCGGCTTCGAGCATTTCAATCACAATCTGATCTTCTCCAGGTGCTTTGTTATTCTTCATACCTTTTATGGCATGCTCGATTTCACTATCAAGGTTTGGTGGTACATCCTCTACTTCTTATTTTCTGATGTTCTGGGCTGCATCTTTGTATAGCGTTTCATAGAATTCTGCGCACCTCTCGAGAATTCTCTCTCTGTTTCAGGATGGCGGTTCCATCTTGCTCTTTCAATGCTGGTATAAGAACCCTGCAGCCTTCTTTTTCGTTTGCTCTTTTCAATCCTTTCCCACTCTCAATTGCCTCCTTCACTCGCAAGGTGTTGTGCTCTCTAAGATCTTCTCTCAATCTCTTCCTGATGGTTTGACATAATTTGTTGTACTCTCTTCTCTCTTGGTCATTTAGATCTTTCTTTGCCATTGCTCTCCTTTCTTTTAGCAGTTATTTAGTTTCCTGCTTGAGCTTCTCCTCTCGCCGTCTTTCCTCTTTTCCTGCTGTTTCCATAGCACATTCCTTAATGGTCTTTGTGATGTTAAGTGCCATTTCCTTCACACTGTCTTCTTCTTGCAAGGCTTCAAAGCGATTTTGCAACTTCAGTTGAAATTCATTCTGTC